TATTATTATTATTATTATTATTATTATTATTAGTGTAGATACTCCTTCAAAAGCTTGCGTTTTTATATATAGTGAGTTTAAGTTCACATATGTATTTCTTCTTCTGGTGTGATAAGGTTAAATAATCATCTAATCTCAATTAGGGTGAATTTTGGAACAGAAGAAACGGTTAGAATAACAGAACTAGTGGAATTCAAGACATGCGAGCTTCTTCTAATCTTGTACACACTTTTATATCCACCTTATACACATTATGTCCGTGAGGAGTTTTTTTTTATCTGTGAATCCGATTCACATACAAAATAATGACATATTTTGTCTGTGACCAGAATTCACTGACAAAAAAAAAACTCTTCACAAACATGGTGGGTACAAAAGTGGGTATAAGAATTGGGTATAAACACTTTTTTTATTCAAAACATAGTTCAAATTTATAGTGGTTCTTGATGTTTGAAAAAACCGAACAGATTTTAATATTAAAACTTTGTACTCTATAACATATCCACTAATTTTTAAGAAGGATTATATTGATCCATTCCCAGGTCTAAACAATTCGATTTGACCCTTTAACATATATAGCCCGTTTGGTAGAATGAAAATCGGTTGTTTCTGCTGAAATTAATGAAGTTCTGCCTGAAATGGCTGCATTGGTTGATTCTGCTGATTTAAGAAAAAAAATGAAAATATATTTTATTAATAAAATAAAGAAAAACTTATATGTAAATATAGTTAAAATAGTCATCTACAGTAACTGCAACCAATACAGTCAGAAAATTTAAAGTAACATCAACCTTACTTTTTCTGCTTATTACACAATTCAGTGCGTGAAAGCAAAAACTATGTGTTTGATGAAAAGACTTGCTGATAAGCCAAAAATAGTGTTGTCAAACGACCTCAAAACGCACCTAAGGCATTTCATGCGATTTGGTATTGTTCCGTAACTCCATTGTGTGTAGGGATCCAAAGCTAAAAGAGGTCACTCAAAGACGGAATAGTGAGTGGGCGCATCTTTCTATTTTAGGATGTTTTTACTTGGACATGATGGAAAAAACTAATCATCATATATAACCAAGATCAAATAACATCACACAAATAATCATAATTGTAAGTTTATGGAGACTTACTTGGAGAGTATCCAATGTTCATTTGAGAGACTTTGGAAGAAGATGATGCCATTACTTTAAGGAAATGGATGTGTAATCCTTTTTAGGACAATGATAGATGGAGTATCCAATAGTAAGGAGTTTGTGATGTCCTCTCTCCTCTTGTTATGGTGTTGTACGTATGTTTCAATGCCAAGGGGAGGAGTAGTTATATTGGGAAATAACCAATAGTCACAACCTTTCATTTATTGTCCTAAAGGGTGTTACCACAATGGTACCCCTTATGTATTATTTCCATCAAATAATACACATATATATATAACACATAATTGTATATATAATACATAAATATAGAACACATATTAATATTGGTCCTTAGGCCATATTAATTGGAAATAATCCAACATTCTCCCACTTGGCCTAGTGACCAATAATTGCTAATTAGTTGGCCAAGCATGTGTTCTAAATACCCAATATCTATACTATAATAGAGAAGTACAGCCACTCGCATCTATTTAGATACGGGACCCCCACTAATCATACTATAGCACATGTATTAGGACATTAAGGTCATTAAACATAAATGAACAAATGTAATGTGGTAATCAATATTAATTTGTCCATGATACCAAAGTTAGTGCGCACGGTATACATATAATAGACAATTAAGAATTCAAGTATTTATTTATATACATGAATTGTTCATAAGAGCACTATGCCAATTAAGTGAGGTCTCGACTAAAACCCATTTTCATCACATGTTCTTGAAAAATCTTGGGTGGTAGACCTTTTGTCATCGGATCCACAAGCATATCATGAGTGCTAATGTACTCGATAGAAAGATTATTTTCTTCAACTCGTTCACGTACAAACAAGAACTTTGTATCGAGATATAATCCGGCCCCGCTCGAACTATTTCCATTTGAAAAGCTCACGGCGGCAGAATTATCACAATAAATCTTCAACGGTCTTGAAATGGAGTTAACTATTTTGAGTCCCTTGATCAAATTCCTCAACAACATTCCGTGACATGTTGCATTATAAACAGCAACATATTCAGCCATCATAGTAGAGGTAGTGGTCAATTGTTGTTTCTGACTCCTCCATGAAATGGGCCCGCCTGCCATCATAAAAATGTATCCCGACGTCGATTTTCTATCGTCTTTGCATTTAGCGAAATCGGAGTCAGAATATCCCGTTACTTCTAAATCGTTTTTTCCTTTATAAGTCAGTTTGTAATCCTTAGTCCCCTGAAGATATCGTAAGACCTTCTTAGCAGCCTTCCAATGATCAAGGCCAGGATTATGCTGATATCGGCCTAACATACCGGATATGTAAGCGATATCGGGACGAGTACAAACTTGAGCATACATCAAACTTCCAACTATGGATGCGTAAGGAATCAACCTCATTTGATCCTTTTCTAATTCCGTTTTTGGACATTGAAATGAGCCAAAAACATCTCCTTTAACAACGGGAGCAACTGAGGGAGAACAATGTTGCATATTAAAGCGTGCGAGTATACGTTCCACGTATGCCTTTTGAGACAATCCTAATGTCCTATTGGCCCGATCTCGGTGAATTTCGATGCCTATAACATAAGAGGCCTCTCCGAGATCTTTCATGTCAAAGTGTCGTGAAAGTAATCGTTTTGACTCATGCAATAAATCGACACTGTTACTTTCCAAGAGGATATCGTCAACGTAAAGAACGAGTATCGCAAAATTGCTCCCACTCATTTTGAGGTAGATACACTGATCCACTTGATTTTTATAGAAGTCGTTCTTTTTCATGACTTCATCAAATTTTAGATACCACTGGCGTGATGCTTGTTTTAGCCCATATATTGATTTCTTAAGTTTGCACACCAGATGTTCTTGACCCTTAGTCGTAAAACCTTCCGGTTGAGTCATATATACAAAACCCATGAATGAAGTCGTTGCTCGCTGAAAATGATGCTTCACACCATAGATAATACTCAAGAAAGAATGTACATAAGAATAGTACGGAGTATATAGAACAAGGTTACTTCTTATATCCAGAGCAAGGAGGGGGATTAGGATATGGCGGCTTCCTTGCCGTCAACTTCTTCCGCCGCGGCAACAGAGAATCGGGCAGATGGAGGGAGCCATATCTCAACCATCCAATTTGGATCTGTCGTCGTTCAAATTTCAGGGAATCACAGCAATCCGGCAACGACCATCTGCCCTTCACCAAGCGGCGGAACCAGAAATTTTTTTGAACCAGTGCTGAAATATATAAAAAAAAATGTGCGTGAGAAAGTATACCCTCCAACTTCATTTTGAAGAAATAAAATACATGATTTTTATACTCTACAACAACATCCAAGTCTTAGTCCCAAACGATATTGGGGTCGGCTAATATGAATCGATATATGATATCACCAAAAGGAAAAGAAAGAAAAATAAAGATAAAAAAGATAAGCTATTATAAAAAAAACAGATAATATAAAAGAGATGAATATACATATAAAAGATCAAATAAAAAGGATAAAGTAATATTTATATATAAGGATAAAAATATAAAAGAAAAAGAACAAAAGAAGAAGAAAAAAAAGAGGGGAAAAGATGATACAAGATCACTCCTCTACACGAATACCCGCTCTCCATTTTGCTCCCTCCAAAGCCATACCTTCATCCAATCCAAGAAGAAGCATATCACTTCTGACTCCCCTAACCCACGTCTGACGTCTGTTTGGGCCTTCCTCTCCCTCTCTTCCCTACCTCTTCTCCACACATCTCAACTCGTGTGACAGGTTGAGACTTTATTTAAGAAAACGTATAATTGTAACATATACTAGTATATGCCATTTGACTTTATATAAGAAAACGTATATACCCTTTAACCATTTAGAAAAAATTGTACTACCTCCGTCTCGTTAAAAAAGTGGTTTAAAAGTAAAACTTCTAGTTGAAATTTGAGTATAATAATAAAGTGAAATATTGAGAATTGCATATTTCTTTCAAAAAAAGAAATGTGACCCTTATTTTGGAAAAATTAAAAAAATGAAACTAAGACAAGTGAAATGGGATGAATAGTATATATTAGCAAAAGAATCGAAATGAAAAAAGGGTTTACACACGAAAAAATTGTGTCCTCTTATTTATTTATAATTAGAAGCCTCACTACTTCTGCTTTATTTTAATTTGTTACTAAAAAGGGAGGAAGAAACTCAATATCAAATGCTTGGCAATCCTTGGTAGAGATTATTAATGATTTATGTGCTAAGAATTACACATAAATGGTTTTACAATTATAAAATAATAAAATCAAACAATCATTAAATATACATAAATTGACTAATTTCCGTTCAAGGAATCTAGCCAAGTAATCCTTATTATGATATAAAATGGTTTTACAAGTTACAATCCTTATACGTAGTATTTAATATTTTACTCTAGTATATACTACCTCCGTCCCGCTATTAACTTCCTGCTTTCCTTTTTGGGACGTCCCAAAATTATCTTCTCATTTCCCTAAATGGAAAGTTTCTCTACATCAAAACAGTGTCAAACAGTGCAAAACAGTGTCAAACAGTGTCAAACAGTGTCTAAACAGTGTCTAATCAGTAAAGTCAAATTTAATTCCTAAAAATGTGTGAGGGTCAAAGTAAGAACTTAAAAACGTAGCGGGGGAGTATATTTTAATTAATTAAAATATACACTATTATTTTAGCATAATACGTAATACGTAGTAATTAATACTACTATGATATCTGGCAGTACATACAAAATAGGTAGTAGCAATTAAGTCATTAAGTCATTCATGGAATTGAGGAGTTACACGGCTTTGTTGAATTTGGTATTTTGGGCCGGCCAGTAGCCCAAAATGTATGTCTATTAGAACTATACTTTGTATGTCTAAACGCTGCCGTTGCACTAAATGAAAAAAAATACCTACGGGACTTGCATTATACGGAGTCAGGCCTGCAAAGGAAGAAGACGACGATGCTTTGCAGGGGCGCGGTACTGATAACACCTTAACTATTCCGGCGAAGGGGGAGCGCCTGCACCGGCTCGCCCTCCCCTAGTTCTGCCACTGCCTTCACCACAACGACAGGACAACAAAACGAGAGATGGAAATAACTTCTCGACGGCTAAGAATTCGACGATGTCCACGTACAAACGGCGGCCGGCTGACCTGCGTTTGGGACATCGCTCAGGTATTGGTGTTTGTGGTATCTTCGCGTCTCGGGACCAGAAAAGAGCTCGCAGCAATCACCATCAAGCGGCGACAAGACCAAATCTCACAAAGGGACCCCAATCACGAGTTACATCAGCAACCAATCGTGGGCTACTCCGAAGGCAAGGTTCCTGCTGGTTCAATTCACTAACAGTAGCTAATGGGCAGAATAGGCGTGGCAAATATTGCAGTATCGGGCAGCAAACTCGATGTAATAATCGGCGGACAGACTTTCATGGGTATGGCCATCCTGATTCCAAAAACCCTCAATCAGATTTTGAGATTATCTTCGAAAGCAAGACTTTTCATTTCATAGTTTTTAATGGGAACTCTGTTTGCATTTCTGAATCAAAGAACAATATATCTTCTGCTATTTATCTTGATCTTGAGAGAATTACTTGGTTGAATGACTCCATTCCAAAGCTACTTTATGATAATTGGGCTGTATCTAAGATTGAATTGCAGAATTCCATTTTAATTCTTCACGACAGCAATTTTTTTGGCGGGTCTTTCCGAATCATCGAGAAGGGTTGTGATTCGTTATTTATACCAGAAGGTTGGAATGGGAATAAAAAAAATTCTGTCAGGAGTTATAAGAGCAAAAAATTTGATGAAGGAACTTCAGGTCAAGGAGCCGCCTTTTCCAAGTCACGGTTCTGAATTTATGGATCTTATTCCTTGGTTGGGTGAGGATTGCTACAACCAAAATGATGTCTCTATTTCAGGAACTTTATTTCATGTCGATATAGCCCTTTCTTCCTCCATTGAGAAGCCTTCGAATTTGAATTCAGTCAAAGATCATAGTTGCTCTGCGACTCTACCGGATTATACAATCATCAATGAGCTCTTTCAGGCTACTATGGCTACTGGGGTAGAATCACTCTCACATTTTCTTCTTAAAGAGTTTGAACGAATTGTTGTCTCGTGTTTGGATAAACGAGACTCATTGGATAAGAATTTGACAGAGACAACCACTCACGAGGTAAACTTATTGACAGATGTTGCTACAGATAATCAGTGCTATGTAGGGATTGCTGGTGATGATGATATTTTTACTGAAAACACTTTATCATACTCGGGAGATGAATTCCTTGGTCATGCTTCAGAAAGTGAGAAGAGAACTCCCATTTTTGCCATTGAGGATCTATGGGATTCTGATACTAATGAGGACATTTGCAACAAGGCTAGCCTGGTCACGAGGGAAAATTGTTTGCCTACACAGAACCTCAACACTCAAATGAAAATGTATCGCAAAAAGTATCAGCGATCACATCCCATGAGAACGAGATCTCAATCTCAAGCGGAGTTCTAATGACTTCTCGGAATTAATCATTTATAGGGAGATTTCATTCATTGCAATTAGGGTTGGTCTATTAATTGTATTTTTTTTTTCTCTCTTTTTTTCTATGCCTCTTTTTTTTCCCTTCTTTCTTCATTTGTACTCTTCTTTTGTTTTTAACTTCAATAAAACACTTCCTTTGCGCAAAAAAAAAAGAGTATATATGTTTTACTCGACCAGATGAGCCACACGTACTTGCTGTTGGTACGTAGGACTATTTTGGAAAAATGACAAGTCTCACTTTTCTACGGAGTATTTGATTTGTAAACCATTCTAGCTTGCATATTATATTAAGAGATATTACCTAAAATAGGACTAAAAAGGTTTGAAAATTCCAAAATAGGACTTCCACGTTTTTATTCCTAAAATAGGACTAATTACTGTCATGTTTTGGCAGTACCAGACTTCAAACATGGCAGTATTTCCCAAATTTGGCAGTAATTACTCCTATTTTAGGAATAAAAAACATGACAGTCCTAGTTTGGAATTTCCAAACTGTTTTAGTCCTATTTCGGGAACTTTCCCTTATATTAATTATATAAGAATAAGAGCACTACCAATTACACTACAACATTTCTAATACATAATGTATCACTCAAAAGCGTTACAATATCAGTGAAAAGTGTTATAGTAGAGAAAATGTAACACTTTTGATTATTACTTTTGCTCATGTTGCACTTACCCTATTGTAACAATTTATAGTTTCTAATGTACTCCCTCCGTCCCATTTTATAAGATATCTTTACTATTCACTTGGTCAACACAAATCACTTTTAATCTATTACTTTATATATCAAAACTTTATGAAATTTGAATTATTTTTTGCAGGTTTTGTAGCGGTTTTAATGTAGTTTCTGAATATGTAATTTTCTTTTTCTAAAAATAATTTGAGTGCAGACAGGGATCCGTTTGCTTTATCGTCGGTCAAACATCGTAAACCGAAAAGTATCTTATAATTTGGGACGGAGGGAGTAACATTTTTACATCTAAAAAGTATTACACTAGACTTAAAAAGTATTACATTAGAGAAATATGTAGCACTAGGTATGTTACGTCTTTTAATGACATTTTTTAGTAGTGTATATTGTTGTTTTACAAATAATTCTTGATACATAAGAGACTAATAATAATGGATTCATGTGTACCGGTTCATTCATTCTTAAGATATTGTTAGAAGTATATGTGTTCTTTGTTCACATTAAATATAACGGAAAAGATGATCAATTGAGATGTAGCAAGGGTAATATACTAATATATATAATGAATCCACGAAGATAATTTATTTAATTTACTTTAGATTTATGCAAAATTTATTTAACTTTCGATACATACAACGTAAGATCATCCATTCAACAAACTCGAGTTGTTTGAAAAAGAAATCGAGTATCAACAACTCTATTCAAGACGGAGATAGTTAGGGTTGGTTTGCAACTTCTTTTAAAAAAGCATTTCTCACCTTTTGGCTTTAAAAAAATACTTATTTTTCCAAACACTATGAGCCTGTTTGGAGACCTCTTTTTTCGGCTTATCAGGCTTATCAGCCAGCTTTTTCACCAAACACGTAATTTTTACTTTCGCTTGCTGAATTGTGTAATAAGCAGAAAAAGTAAGGTTGAAGTTACTTTTCTGGCTGTATTGGCTGAAGTTACTGTAGATGACCATTTTAACTATTTTTACATGTAATTTTTTCTTTATTTTATTAATAAAATATATTTTTAAAATATTTTTTTCTAGAATCATCAGAATCAGCCAAAACAGCCACTTCAGCCAGAACTTCATAAATTTCAGCAGAAACAGCCAAAACAGCCGATTTTCGTGCTACCAAACGGGCTCTATAACTTTTATTTTTCTCGGCTTCCGCGTCAAAAGTGTTTTTACTTTTTCTATTACACAAAAAGCACTTATTTTACCAAACACTACTCACTTTTACTTTTCAAAATCACTTTTTTCTCAAACACTATCGACTTTTATTTAATCACTTCTCCCCATTTCATTAAAAAAACACTTTTTTAAAAGCAGAAGCTGTTGCAAACAGACCCTTATACTATTAATTTTCTAAGTGCTTCTTTGTTGATGTTCTTTTTCTCCCTTCATTTTTTTTGGATGAAATGTAAAATATATTAACACCCAGAAAACTTTACATCATATAGCTAAGATCTCCTAACCCCCCCCCACATAAAATGGGGTTGAAGAGAGGTTTTTCTTCGATCTAAACTATGGGAAATAACCAAGTAGACCTGGCCCATCAAAATAAACACAACATAACGGTGTTGCCTACAGACACACACCTAAACGGAGACTAAAAGATCTATTGGGTGCCACAAAATGCAGACACCACAATCCCACTCCTGCTTCGTTACTACCATCCACAGTGACCGTGCCACAGTACCCGTAGACGTCATTGCCTGGGCAGCACCAAGAGTCAAGACGCATCCTAGGCTCCTAGCTTAGAAGTTCACCAAATCATGTGGGTAAATACTATAAAGTATTTTATACACCACATGTTTGATCTTGGCGACCACATCATCCTCAGTCCTCGTGGCTTCATCAAATCTTACGTTGTTCCTTGCTTGCCAAATATGGTAAACCGCTGCACAAAAAGCAAGCCGTCCTGCCTTGGCCTTCAACGTTGATCCCCTGCGTTTCTTGGAAATCCATTTTATTGCACTTAGGAGTGTATTCATGTGATTCCCAAAGCCGATCCATGCCCGAATTTTCTCCCATACTCTGCACGCAAAAGGGCAACAAAAAAAGAGGTGTGGAATTGTTTCCAATCCACCCTTGCATAAATCACATCTTTTTCTCCCTTCATATTACTATATCTTGTTTACCTTGTTTTCCACATGCGTGTCAATGAGACGATTTTTGGAATAAGAGATTGACATACAGGACTCGATTATCACTACCATTGAAACAAATTGTTGTGATTATTTCCAGGTTGAGACAATTTTGAGGAAATCAGTGAAAATGAGAATTCAATTTTCATTTTCTCGCATATTAATTAATGTGGATAACATGTGGATAACCGACCACCGCAATATATTAACTTATTAGCACCTATCTTGACCAAAGTTTATCAAGCTTTCTGATGAATTAGTACAGTCAATTATTGATGACTCTATTTCCACATGTTCATTAATACGGAGTATAAAATTGTACTCATTTAACTTTATTTGATTGATTTGTACTCTTGTTTACATCAAATATAATCTAACATAGTAAATGGATTTAGTAATAATGAACTATCTTACATAAATCTCTACACCTTATTACAAAGGTTAGGATATCGGCACCACTATCATACAATGTTTACCCCTTTTTGTTTTTGTATGTCTATTGTTGTTTTATAGCCTATGGTTAATAAAAAAATTAAATAAGTATAAAAAGCGTAAAAAGTACGATAAAGAAACGAATCTTTCGGTTTTGCCGATGGCCAGTAAATGCCCGTTGCACCAGAAAGGAAAAGCCAACTATAATGATGACGACGACAAGGAAACCGTTTCGGCCAGTTTCCCGATCCTCTCCGCCAACTCCGGCGGCAGTTCCTTCCTCTGTTTCCGCACTTTCTCCGTTCGGAAATCAAACCCCAATGCGTACGAAACGTCTTCGGAGCTCCATCCCGCTTTCCGGAGCGAATCCGAGAAACGATCCGCTTTCACCAGAAGGGCATCCATAACCGCTTGGTTGTCCAGAAGCACCATCTCACCGTCGAAGAATCCGGACGGAGAAACGTTAACGATCTCCGAAGTGTCTGATTCGCTCCAGCCGCCCGCTCTCAAAACCGACCCGATTCGGTCTATGTACTGGTTGACCCATTTCGGAACTTCGGGCCTGGGCAAATCGAAGTACTGTTCAGGAGATTCAGAGGTGGAGGACGAAGAGTGGGAGTTCCTCCGGCGTCTATCCATGGCGGCGTCGCTCCAGAACTCAACCCAGCGCGGCCTCCTCCCTCCGGTGACTGCATCGAGGCTTCTCCTGGAAAAATTGAACGATGAGCCGGCGGAGATTTCATCAATTGCGCGAATTTCCGAGCTCCGAAACAGAGCAGACTCGCGATCGAAGAAGTCGGAGAGATCTAACCCACAACAGTAAATCCGATTCTCGTCTACGTAGAAAATCGGGTTCCCCGCTAGCGAAGGATTACAAGGAATGTAGCAGTGGTTGAAAATGGGTATCAGAAGCGGAGCTTTCCGGAGAGCATTCCTGGCGAATTTGATTGCCTTTTCCGGGTCGGACGGCCTTAACCCCCAGGACTTGGACCAGAGATCGTTCCGGGCAACGTGGAAAGACATGGCTGCAATTGAGAGGTCAATCGAGGCTCGGAGCTGCAGACGGGCGGCGCCGTACGACCGCCAGTCCGGAAACCCATTTCCGAGCGGCAGCCCGGCGGAGAGGATAGCTTTGAGGTCGGGCGGGAAGGCAAACTTAAACTCTGCTTCCGTTCTGGCAAACTCTGTTTCCGACAAGCCAACCTCCACCCGGATACCGGAATTCTTCAGGTGGGCAACCACTTTATCAGCTAAGGTGTTGAAGGAGAATAAGCTGGTGCTGGGAGGATTAACATAAGTCGACGGGATGGCGGCGGCGGCAGCTCTGGCTGAAAGACGGCGGAGGCCGGCTATGTGGGCCGGATTCAGACCCGTCATCCTCCGGTCAACGTCGACCATCTTCGGAGTTGTAAGATTTAAGTTTATGAAGGAAAAAGTAGAGCTGTTAAGGCAAGAAATGGCAGTTAGTTTGAAGGGAGGGAAAAGAATAGTCGTGACTTGGAAGGAATGCGCGATGGGGAAAAGGGGCAGTGAAGTGGGAATGGGGGAAAGGTGGGCTTTTGATCCAATCTAAAAGATGGATATTTATAAGCATGTAGTGAGTGTAGGCCTAATATGAGATTCGGCTAATATTGTCCTTTATTTTAAGAGAAATTTGTTACTAGTACTTCATACGAGTATCAGAGTATGAAGTAGGGAGTATAATAATAGTAACTTTACATTCTTAATTACTACACAACTAATAATAGTATTACCATACTAGTAATGGTAATGGTTGTCAAAACTTTTCAAACGTTGTTTTGCGACTTTAGTTACTCGTAAAAAAAAAGAGAAACGACCTTGTGGTTCAAGTGGATAAAACTTCATAACAAAGTTGA